CGTTTTCAGTTGGAGAAATGTTTCATCACTCATCTAAGCCATAACTTTATAATTTGAAAGCAAAACAAATCTGTTAAATCCATATTTCCAAAAAAAGAGAAAAGAAAATTAGTGCAAAGCGAATTATTGACTTCCTACCATAACAAGAAAGAAAGAATTTGCAAAGATTTTTTTTAATCCAGTCTACTTTCAGCATGTTGTGCAAATGGGAACAAATATTAGTGCTTGGTTAATCTCAAATAATAATGATGAGACAGACATAGAAGCACCTAACATCTCATTGTTACATTCTAATTTGTGTTGTACAGTTATTTTATTTTCAACTTTAATTTATATATTTTATCTTATTCCTTCCTAGTTAAATTTACCCTTTTTAATTTTTCATATTTATTTCCTATCTTATTCATAGCCTTTTCCTTTTTTGTTTTCTTTAGGTCATGAGCAGTTGTCAAAGCATTTCACTACATATCGTACTGTGTATGACTGTGTACGTGACAAATAAAAGTTGAATTTGAATTTTTATCTTTCCCTAAAACATTCTCTAACATTAAGCTGAGCTTTATACATGAATGAGATTTAAGTTATTCTACATAACAAGGTTGTTTTCACATGTTTATACATAGTTTTGAATTTCCCCTAATGTGACTACCAAAGAGGATTTTTATTCATTTATTATTTACTGATACACAGCCACACTGAAGTGTTTAGTCAGCATAATCATAGTTAGAATCAAATATTACACATAATCAAAAGTTAACAGTGGTAACAAAATATGTCTGATCATGTTGTCACGGGTAAAATAACTCAATTTGATTTGATGGCAACTGAACTATAAGCCTACATCATATATCCAACTACTGAAAGCGTTATACAGACTCTGAATTTTGAGAAGCTGCTTGAGGATACTGATCAAACAAGTGAGGGGGAGTTTGTGCCTTGCGAGAGAACTTTCCAAACCTCCAGCTGATCTCAAGGTTTGGGAAGGCCTCTGTATATAGCTGAATACAGCTGAGGATTGCCTGGCTCTGCTGCAAATTTGCAAAACATTTTTTTAAAATTTGATTTGATTTTATTATCTTTTGTTTCTTTTTTTCATTATACACCAGCTTATTTTTCAGTCATCAGTAAAAAATGAGTTTCACAGAATTCTAACAGGCTGTGAGCAAAGTAGTAATTCAAAGCAAATAGTGATTCATTCTGTATTTCTGCATTAGTTACGGTTGACTAAGCCTTCATTCACTATTGCCATTTCTTCTTCTGCAAGCACTAAATAAAGCTCAAAAGTTTGGAGTTGAAGTAAATGTTTCATAGCCTTGTTGTCTAGTTGCCTAGTTGTCACCACTCAGACAATACCTCCACCTCAGCACTGACATAGACAGAGAAGAAGTCAAAACAGGAAGCAAAGACATTGCAGTGTTTTCTTTTTTTTTTTTTTTTCAAATTTCTATCTACAAAGTCTCAAGTTTTCAAACTGTTGCAGCACCTCCCTCTGTGTAATCTCTGAATCTCTGAGTTTCTGCACAGACACATCATTAAAACAGCTGCAAAAGCCGAAATGATCATATACTCGTGTCTTCCAGTTGGCAACCCATCAGGTTACAAAATCAAGAGACGCAAAACAGCACCAACTTTAACACCACTTATGGTCATGTGACAGGGTCTTTAATTATTCTGACCTGGAAGCTATGTCCATGTTTTATACAGTCTGTGATTATGACAGCTGGCAGAAGGACCATTACGCATGTTTTTGACACTGTCCCCTAGTGGCAGTAGACAGCTACAGCATGCTGTGTAGGTTCTGGATAGCACCCTTTAAGGACCCTTTACTTTGCAGGGCACAAATGTCCTTTACCTCTGCTTTTTAAACTTACTCTGCTGAGTTGTCCAACAGATTAATCTCAGCACTTAAATGCTAAGGCTGAATGTAATGTCAGGTTAACGATGTATACATGAAATAAAAACTAAAAATGAGATAAAATGAAAAGCTTTTGCCACACAGAATGTCCACTGCTCATGTCAGTAATAACGATACTTCCACATGAATCATAAAAGGCTCTTTGCAGACCGTTTCATCCCCAGCCCGGCTCCTGCCTGCACATCACAAACGACTGAGCTGATGACATTTGCTAATGGGAGATGCGCTGCCTACCTGCTGCCTCAAAGTCAACTGACGTGGCTGATGAGCGGCGCGCGGCCAATGGGAGCGCAGCGGGGCGGAGAGCACGCTTAGATTGTACTACAGTGTAGTACCGCTGCCAGCAGCAGACGCGTCTCCTGCTCACTCCCGCTCTTCAGCATCTTCTTCTGGTTCATGGATTATACAGTTTCCCTCCAAGTGCAACATCAGCTGGCGGTGTTCCCGACGCATTTCCATCAGGGCTACAGCGTGGAGTTACAGGTATGATCTGCACGCGTTACCGCTCTTGTCTGCTTTCTTCTCCTTTCTTTCTTCGCTCGGTTTTTTCTAGACTGTGATGAGAGACGTGCACGCGAGTTTAGGAGTGAATGAGTGTGACTTTATGTAGATGCCTTGCTGCAGGGGACAAGCATGGTTGTGGTGTTGCATGCTGATATCTTTAACACCGAGGTCCTTGTTGCACGGAGGATCCTGTCAGAAGGAGCGCAGCGCAGCTGTGCTGCTGCCGGCGCGCTGCGGCGCACACCGGGGTGAAAAAGTGAGCAGAGCAGCCTGGTTGCTTTAGGTTGACCTTATGTCTCGTGTAATGTTCCTGCGTGCTGAAAAGGTGACAGTCCCTGGTCGATCCCCGAGGGAGTCCCTCTCGATAAGCTATAAATGAAGGCATATTCAGAAACAATCTCAGTGTATTAGTCCATTCAGAGATTTAACTTTAAATAATTCAACACGCGGTCCAATACTGTACACACAATGCTGCAAACACTCTTCTACCCCGGGGGCAAAATCCTCCAATAACCTTTGGAGAGTGTGTGTCACTCTTCACATTAAGCTTTCTCCTGCAGTCTGTAGCTTCTTCATCCAGTGCAGAACAAACTGTAATCATTAAGCGATCAGCTGCCCCCCATAGAGCAGCCCAGGTTGCTCGTAACATGCATAATAACGCCCTTTCTGATTCTTAAAGATGACAAGTAAGATGGATTGGAAGGAGCTGAACACACCTGTGTCAGCCTCAGGGAAGAGTTTCAAAAGTATTGACTGACCTGAATGGTTCCCAACACCAGATTTAAAAACAGAAGAACTTTTTCTTTAGTTGTGTTTGGTGGTGAATGGAACTGAAGCTGTTCGCTTAGTGTCTGTACAGCATCAGAAGTGGAATGACCAAGTTACCCACTGTAAATGCACTTGTCAACATATAACCCCCATCCTCCCCATCGAAACACACAATTAAATTGCATCATACATTTTTAAGTAATAAAAACAAAACAAAAATGCTGTAGGAATGTAGCAAATCACTCATATATGGTCATATATGCAAATTAATATTTAATTAATTTAAAGAAAGATTCAATAAAAATTCAATTTTCAAACTAATGTGAAATTTCTAGCAACTACTTCATGTTTTATACTTTAAAAGGATAAAGAGGATGAATAGAAATCATAAATTATGATGATGATGATGGTGATGATGATGATGATGATTATTATTAATAATAATAATAATAATAATAAATTAATGAAACTGCTTAACTTCCTTCGTGTTTCTTTGTGGTGATATGTACTCTTTGTGCTCTTATTGAAATTACTGTTATTCCACAGATAATGATAACTTATAATTGTTTGTTTGTTGTGCAGCACAATGCAGCGACTGATACATACGTTCTCACAATGCTCTACACTCGGCTTTTTAATGTTTTTTTTTTCCAATTGTATCAAAAGTTGTGTTGACCATCAATATTTTTCAGTGTATTGTGTATCATTTAGAAATACTTGGATTGGGACTGGCATATGTGGATGACTATAGGAGCCCTTTTTTCATACATAGATAACTTGCTGACAGTTCTGGCATTCATATCGGGCGCTGGTGATGGCGATGTTTTTTGCCTTAGCCGACATCGACACATCAGTGGGCTGTCAGTGAAAGTTATGTGAGAAGAGTGGACACACACACGCACGCACGCACACACACACACACACACACACACACACACACACACACACACACACACACAACATGTCCCCAAGTACTCCAAAACAGGGGAAAAGGCATTTTCCTTTTTAATGCTGTTCCAGCCGCTGACAGTTGCCCTTTTCTCAGTAGCTGCCAGTTCCACTAGTAACAACTGATCTCTGGATGGATATCTGGAGGGTTACACTGTGGCACCACAATACAACACATTCACATCAGTTTAATAAAAATAGCTGGCTTAAATGGCATTAAAATGCAGTATTTCTAACTACAGCAACACCTTGATGCTGCGCATACCTGGCTCTGCACTGGCAGAAGGCTCTGCGTATTAGCCAGTAGTACACTATATTCCCAAAAGAATTTGTTTGTTTGCCTTCACATACATAAAAACTTAGTTGCATCCCATTATTAATACATAGGGTTTAATATGATGTCAGCCCACCCTTTGCAGCTATAACAGCTTCAACTCTTCTGGGAAGGCTTTCCACAGGTTTAGAAGTGTGTTTATAGGAATTTTTGACCTTTCTCACAGAAGACATTTTTGAGGTCAGACATGTTGGATGAGAAGGACTGGCCCAAAACTGTTGGGAAACAAAGTTGGGAGCATGTCCAACATGTTTTGGTATGCTCAACCATTAAGAGTTCCTTTCACTGGAACTAAGGGGCTGAGCCCAAGTTAGGAAAAAACACCACATTCCCCCCTCCACCAAATTACACTTGGCACAATGCAGTCAGACAAGTACTGTTCTCTTGGCAACTGCCATACCCAGACTCGTCCTTCAGATTCCTAGACAGATAAGCATGAGTCCTCACTCCAGAGAAAATGTCTCCACTGCTTTTGAGTCCAGTGGTGTGGTGCTTTAAACCACTGCATCCGACATATTGCATTGTGCTCGGTGATGTAAGGCATGGATGCAGCTGCTCGGCCATGGAAACCCCTTCCATGAAGCTCTCTACGCATTGTTCTTGAGCTAATATGAAGGCCACATGAAGTCTTGAATCTGCCGAAAGCTGCTGTTATTTTACTTGCCCTACCACTTCATGGAGTTGCAGTCATTCCCAGTGGCTTCCACTTTGTTATAATACCACTAAAAGTTGACTGAAATGTTTAGTGAGAAAATTTCATGACTCTACTTGCACAGGTGGCATCTTATCACGGTAATATGCTGGAATTCACTGAGATCTAGAGAAAGAGAGCTATTCTTTAACAAATGTTTGTAGATTCTATACACCTGTGTTCATGATCGAAACGCCTGAACTCAATGATTTGGCACTATAGTGTATATGGCCGCTGATATTTAATGCCTCCCTTTGTAAAACAAGAAAAAAGTAAGGAGGAAACCCATGCAGATCAATAGAAAGGAAACTTTTTTCAAGGCTGTTTGCTTTCATATTCTATATGAGTATTGTACGTGTTTTCTTACCTAAGGCTTACTCTTCCTCTTGCAGCATCATTTCAACACATACTTAAGGATCCCAGACACATCCCAGGTGTGTTTTATTCTGCTGCCCCCAGCAAGATGAGAAAAGGAATAAAAGAATTATGCACCATTTTAGCAAGTGGGTGCTCAAAGTGCCATCTGCCTTATTTAAAGTAATACGAACGTTTAAAGTTATATCATCAAGTTTCCCCTCTTGCGGAACAATAGATGGCACTGTTGAAGGCTTCCGAGTTTTCCCTGGGACACAAACATTTCTCTTTTAAAGCTCAGCAGTAAGGTTCTGCACCAAAACAGCAACATGTTATAAAGTGTGTCAGATAATAAAGCTCCTTCAACCCTATCTTTAATATTCCAGTGATTTTTTTCAACCACCAAGGATGACTACAATCCTTTCTGTTTGTGAAAACCTTCAATTGAAGAAAAGAGCACTTCCATTCCCCCGCATGCTGTCTGTAATTTGTGATGCCTATAAATAAGAGGCTTTGAAGCTCTGCACTTCCACATCATCAATAATGTGTTTGTTTTGCAGAGTTAAAATTGCTCTGCTTCTTTGTTGCTTTCCATTGCATCCTTGCCAAAGTTGTTTCCATTCTCTCTCCGTTATTCCTTTCACCAGAAGGTCAACTGAGATGGGGCTTGAGATTTTTATAAATAGCACACAAAGTAACCAAGTGCTCCAACCATTGGCACTGAGCACATTTATTACACAGAGCTTGGAAGTTGTTTTGAAGGAAACAACTAAGAAAACTCAGCTGCATCACAGAAGATAATGTGTGCTTTATCAAAGGTGTGGAATCTTCTCTCAGCTTCCAGACAAGCTCCAGCTCAAATATGCAGAACCACTTGTATCTGCTTATAAAAATGCAGTTACTGAATAAGATGTTAAACAAAGCATCCAAAAAGTGCCCCTGTTTATAAAGAATAAAACAAAGCATGGTTCTTTTTACCTCTTAACCAGGTCATCGGCTATCCATCTAATGTTAGAGTTGTGTATTTAGTTTGTGCTTAACAGGCATATTTTCAAAAATTCAAAATACTCAAAAGCCATTTTATTCAGTGCACCCATTCAGCTGCTTGTTAATGCAAATACTTAATCACAGCCAGACTGCTTTAAGGAGGCAGGAAGGCCACAGTAATTACAAATAATCGCTCGGTACAACCAAGGTATGCAGAAGAGCATCTGTGAATGCACATCACGTCAAATCTTACAGCAGCAGAAGACCACACCAGCAGGATTGGAAAAACACTGCCTGATGTGATGTGTGTCATTAAGATGTTAGGGTCAGAATTAAGTGTGGACAACATGAAAATATGGATCCAAGTTGTTGTTGGTTGTATAATGGTGTGGATGATATTTTCTTGATATACTTTTGTCCCCTTAGTATCAGCTGAGCATTGTTTAAACACCACAGACTACCTGAGTATTGCTCCTTAACCATGTTCACCCCTTTATCACCACACTAAATCCATCTTCTGATGGCCGCTTCCAGCAGGATAAAGCATGTCACAAAGCTCAATTTATCTCAAACTGATTTTGCAAACATGACAGTGAGTTCATTATACGCAGATGGCCTTCACGGTCAGCAGATCTCAATCCAGTAGAGATAGTTGATGCAATGGAACAGGAAATTTGCATAATGGGTATGCAGCATATGTGGAATGCTTTTATGACAATATGGAATAAAATCTCAGAGGGATGTTTTCAGGAATTTTTTTAATAGTCCATGCTGTGAAGAATTAAAACAGTTCTAAAGGCAAAAGGGTGTTCAGCCCAGCAGTACTAAGGTGTACCTAACAAAATGACCAGTGAGTGTAGAATGTTAGATTACAGGTTTTTTTTTGTTAAGGCCTCC